TGCTAAAGAAAAGTAATCAACAGACCTACCCAGCAGCAGACCATGTATGCTACAATACCTACCTGCCAGGCAAGGTTCACTGGTGCAATAGTGGAAGTAACCAACTGCTTTTTCTTGGGTTTGCTGTCCATGCTACATGAGGAAATGCATTCCTGGTACTGTAAATCTGGACAAAAGCCCATGGCTGGAGAGGTCCTAGGTTCTAGGAGAGAACCTACTACTGATTTTTTTTTTCTAAACCAATGGACATGGTATCATATTCTAATAGTTATGTCTGTACCTATAGATCAGTGCTGCTCTCAGCCTTGGTCAAAGAAGCCTTTTTGCAGTGAATGACAATTACTACAGAGACTTATAATTGGTCAAAATGCTAAGAATAAATGATTCAACAGGACAACTATATCATTCCCTCTCCGAGGCTTTGGAAACATTGCAAAAAAGGGACAGAAAGAATGTAAAAGCCAGAGGATGGAGAGAAGTGCTGTGGAACACTCTTTTCTAGATATGGCATAGCTGTTGTACTCAGGAACTCACAGCTGCTGTTCTTACACAAGATTGAATGGGTCAACACTTCCTCATGGATGGGGAAAGGGCTCATAATGACCTAGCCCTAGCTGAGGAGCTGGCTGCCAAGGGTAGGAAAATAACTTTCTACATTGGTGTAGCACTGCTAAGTTGTCTATGCTCCAGAAATAAACCCACACCCATGCTCATGCAAGCACTCCTAATAAAGCTCATTAAAAAAAAAAAAAAAAAAAAAAAAAAAGGACAAGAAAGCAGGAGGGAGACTTGCTGGGAAAAAGGTTCAGAAGATGAAGAGATAAGAGAGGATAATGGGGGGAGGCCAATATGATCAAAATAACTATATTTAAAACTGTCAAAGAATTTTTTAAATCTATATTACAAGGTAAGATTAAAAATTCCATTTAAGAGCAAACATTGGTTATCAAAGGTGCCTAGAGACAGTGGTATCTAAGCTGACCTTTGAAAGATAAACAAGAGGGAAGACAAAATAATCTTGGCAAAAGGAACAATGAGAAACAATAGCATGTGAAAATAGCCTGGCATGCTGAAATAGAGCTCCACTGAAAAAGCAATGAAGATGAAGTTAATAAGATTATAGCTTATAAGTACTGCATACCATGAGTGAACATGTTATCTCCCAGCAAACTGGCAACTTCTAAACAATTATAACCAGAGAGTGATGGGTCCAAATTTTCTTTTTAGAAAAGATAACATTTTTCTGGGCATGAATGCTCATGCCTATAATCTCTGCATTTGATAGGCTAAGGTAGGTTTAGCATGAGTAAAAGGCCAACCTGGGCTACAGAAAGAGACATTGTCTCAATACACAAAACAAAAGAAAAAAAGGAAGGTGACAGCTTTCTTAAAGTGGTAGATAACACTGACCATTATTCATGCACTGCCACCTCTTATGATTTGACTGAGTCTCACTCAAGACAATGGGGATATAACAGTAAACAACTAGGTACTTTTCCTTCAGGAAGCCTAGCGAAAGAGGCATACAAACATCTCCACTGAGACTCTACTTTCTCTGGGAGGATTACTTGGCTAAGCTACCTGAAGGATCGCCCCTGCCCAAACTGACTTTTACTCCTTGTTCTGCTCTATCATATCTGTTCTTTTCCTAAGCTTATCTCAATTTTCTAAATTACAGCTTATAATTTTTCTATTTGTTTACTTGTTAAACATCTGTCTTCATCATTAAATACAAAGACCAGGTCTACTTGATTTGCTGTTTATTCTCTGAGTCTACCAGGATTAGCTTACTAGGTACCTACTTTGTATCTATATGTTGACTGGTAAGATAATCTACTTTTAGAAACTAACCTCCCTAAAAATTTAGTTTTTGCTTTTTAAATGTATTCAATTCCCTGAGGCCTAACCTAAGAGCTCAGATCTAACAGAATTCTTCTAATACAGTTCCATTAGCATCAGGCTTGTAGCTTTACAATTAATTCTATAGCACTATCTCAATCACTATGTATTAACTTACTGAGAAAAACAATCTTAAAATTCTGTTCTTGGCTATCAACAGAGCTTAGCTTACCTGGTTCTTGAGAATCTAATAATTCACTTGCCATTTGCTAAACCCACCATGTGCCTGATTTTCTTTATGCTTTGGGGGAGGGCTAAAGTACTGAACATAGTCACAGCAGAAATAACCCTGCCTCAGAAAATTTACAATTTAATAAAGAGATACATGTAAGTAAAAAGATAATCACAATACCAAGCAAGCTCCATAACAGAGCAAAAGGAGAATGTCACAACAGGGCCACTGGACAAAAGCTTAGGCAGTTAGATGAACTTCTGGAGAGGATGTGTGTAGAAGGGATAAAAAAGAAAAGCTAGGGTGAGCAATGTACTAAAACTACCACCATAACATTTAGATACTATTTATTCAATATTAGGCCATTCTTAAAGTACTTTACACATTTTCTATTTACAATGTATTCAGTCCTTACAACAATCTCACATGATATGTACTACTGCCATCTCATTTTGGAGACTAGGGATTTAAGGAAGCTTCCAAAGTAACACAGCTAGCAAGTCGTAGAGTGTTCTGACTCCAGAATTTGACTCCTCAACCTCCATTTACAATGTTCCTCACAAGTACAACTCATTTTAGTTTTCTGTTTTTAATTTCCAGGGTTGGGAACTATTTACTTGTTAAATATGCTCTATTTTCAACAGCCATCACTATTAAGAATTGATTAATAAAATTGGGTCCTTTTAAGAAATCAAGAAATGGACAGAAGTGGGACTGAAGAGATGGTTCAGCAGTTAAGAGCACTGGTGAATGGGTATTCCTGCTGAGGACCAAGGTTTGGTTCCCAGAACCCACATGGCAGCTAACAACAGTCCACTACAGTTCAAGAGGATCCAATACCCTCTTCTGATACACATGGTGCACCTACATACACACATATACACGTAAAATAAAAATAAATTTTAAAGAACTTTTTAAAAAAGAGAAACTGGTAGAGGTTTGTAACATAACCTCTTTTTTTTTTTTTTTTTTTTTTTTTTTTTTTTTTGGTCTTTTTGAGACAGGGTCTCCCTGTAGCCCCAGCTGTCCTGGAACTCACTATGTAGACCAGGCTGTCCTTGAACTCACAGAGATCTGCCTGCCTCTGCTTCCCGAGTGCTGGGATTAAAGGTGTGCGCCACCACACCCAGCTTGTAACATAACTTTTAGGGCTGACCAAATACTCAAAGAATATATCTGAAGAAATCACTAGGTTTTTTGTTGTTGTTGTTTGTTGTTGTCTTTTTGAGACAGGGTATCCCTGTAGCCCCAGCTGGCCTGGAACTCACAGAGCTCTGCCTACCTCTGCCTCCCAAGTGCTGGGACCAAAGGCTTGCACCATCACACCTGGCCAAGAAATCACTGTTTGATTAACAGGTCATGTCTCAAAACAAAAGCATCCAAAAGAAAAACTAAGCAATAACCTGTGTAGCCTTCTTTGCTAATTTTTAGTGCACATATAACATGATATAGTAGTTCTACTCCCAGAGATCTACACAAGGGAACTACATCTATATTCCCCAAGAGATATGCACTGGGGCATTTACAGCAGTTTTATCTGAAAGGACCCTACATTGAAATTTTCCCACATGCCCATAAACAATAGGCCTGGAAAGCACACTGTTATATATCATGACAAAATATAAATAGTAATGAAATGAACGGACTATGAAAACATAGACGAAGCCTACAAATGGAATGTTAATGAAAAGACAGACACAGAAGCACACTGAAAGTAAGTGAATGAATCAATCAATACAAAATGAATCTATATAGAAGACAGAAGAGTGACTTATGATGTGGGTGATCAGAGAAAGCATAAGGGGGCTGGTAGGGTGTTGGGAACACTTGTTCCTTGAACTGGGTTGGATGGTAGTTAATATGTGTATTCAATCTGTGAGAGCTTATCAAGTATATACTTATGACATACATTTTATACATCTGTTGTCTATTAAAATTAAATCAAAGTTAGTGTTTTTAACTATATGATCTATAATTTTAAACAAGTTTTGAAATGTTAACATGAAGGGTAATAACTATACTGCTATCATCATCTAATCTTTGAGTATTAATCACATGGCAGGTATTGTCTTATACTTAGATAATCTCAATCCTCATAAGCATCCTCCAGATACAAGCACAGTTATTAGGTCTATTTTCTGACAAGAAAACTGAAGCTCAGGGAGATTAAGTAATGTGTTGGAGGGAAAGAAAAAAAATCAAACTTAGACAATCTTAACTCTAAAGAGTGTGTGTGTGTGTGTGTGTGTGTGTGTGTATGAGTGTATGTGTATGTGTATAGTTTGTATTCCTGGGACTGGATCTCACTATGTCCAATATTGTCCTTAAAATTGTAATCATCCTGCTACAACCTCTGGAACACTACAGTTCAGGAGTGTGCTGCCACGATGTCCAGTTTAGCGATATAGTCTCCACCATCTTATTATACTAAATTTTTAGTGGCTAATTCAGCAGTATATCAAGGCAAGAGAGACACACCAGTTGTAAAACTGACTCTACAATGTTTACCCCTAGTATTTCCCAAGTGCAAACCCCAGTTAGAGAAAAGCAGTCATCACAAGATGCAGACTGAACAACACATGCTTTATTTGTAGCACAACTGTTCATACCTGAGAAAACATGCTCAAGGCATTTCTAAAAATGAACTCTACTCACTTAGCTCAATTCTGTCCCTTCAAACTTTTTACTCTAGTAGTTAAGAAAATAGAACATGCCAGAAAATTATTAGCACAACTGAACTTTTACTATGCTATCAGTAAATTGTAGCTGAGAACAAGCCAATGATTCACATTCACAAAGCCATTACCAAGAAAGTTTATGAATGGAAACAGAACAAATGCATTACATAAGGTTTTAACATAGGTAAAACAAGGGAAAATCATTCCACAATCAGTTAAAGCATTTGGCAGTTTACCAACATAAAATTTACCTCTTTGGAGGGGCAAGCAGGAGATGTGAATATTGTCATCCAATAGGACCATACAAACATAACAAAGAACAGATGGAAAGCCACAAGGTAAACAACGGTCTTTCCTGGTGAATAAAAACAAATAATATTTAATTGATTCCAAGTAAAAACAGGAAAAGGTATTACATTAAACAGTAGTTGTGTCAGTAGACTTAATTCAACAAAAACTTTTATTTAAATATCAAATATATAAACCACTTTATCTGCATGATTTAACAGTAAGGGATATCAAGAAATAGTCTGTTCCTATATTTAAAGATGTAAAGTTATAAAATGAACTTACTCATAAACTGTAACCTTATAACTAAAACTGTATCCTGTGGTGAGATTTCAGTTGCTAAGGATCTAAGCTAAAAACACCTTCTTCAATGACTGGGTTTTGGGTTATTTATATTAGGCCAGCTTTGAATTTCCTATGCAGCCCAAATTGGCCTGGAACTCATGATTCTCCTACTTCTGCTCTCTGATGCTGGGATGGATAAAGTGTGCTGAGATAACAGGTATGTAGCCATAACTATCCACTCACTATACTTTATGTTTTCCACAAATATTAGTTTTCAGTGACTTAAAAATCACTTTTAAAAAAATCCATCACTATGAGTATTAAACCCAAGGAGTTGTAAACTTAAAGTTGTTACCATCACAAAGAATAAACTTGAATAACTTGATTCCTGCCTGGGTCAGAAAGAGGACTCTGAAATTTATTCTCTTGTTCAACATAGGTTAACGAGAAAAATTCTAGCCATTGTGAATTTCTATCATAATCTTTCCCAAATGATTCATGTCATAGTCAACATTTCTCTGATTCCAAACATTAACTCACTGATTTAACATTAACTTTTTTGTTGTGACCAGGCTAGACTCAATCTCACAGAGATCTGCCTGCCTCTGCCTCTGGAGTGTTGGGATTAAAGGCATGTACCACCCTGCCTGGCATAGTTTTTCTGTGGGGCTAGTTTTCTTTTTTTCTTTCTTTTTTTAAAATTTTATGTGTATGCATGTATTACCTACATGTAGGTAAATGCACCCGTGTTGTGCAATGCCTGTGGAGGTCAGAAGAGGCTATATTGGAACTCCTGGGCCTGGAGTTACAGACAGTTGTTAGCTGCCATGTGGGTGCTGGGATTCGAACCCAGGTCTTCTGCAAGAACAACCAGTGTTCTTAACTGCTGAGCCATCTCTCCAGCTCAGGGGCTAATTTTCTTAAGAAAAACCATTTACCTAGTTCGGGGCTCTGATTCACTGTAGAATGCTGAATACACTCTGAAGATCACAAAACACTGAAATTTGAACTTTTATCATTTTCATAGTTCAGATTAAATGCTATTCTTCCATAGATGCCTCCACTATTTCCTTCCCTCTTCACCCTGCAGTCCCATTCACATCCCATATCTGCTCACACTTCAATGAAAGCACTTGTTTCAATAGTCACTTTCTTGAAACTGATAAACTAAAATATGCAAATCATTGATATTTCCTAACAAATCTAGAGGACTTCCTAGTTACCACATTTGACTTCAGCTACTCAAATTGCTATTGCCTCCTACTGAAAGCCTCTTATAAAGCAGGTTTTATTTCTAACCCTTAACAGTAGTGCTAGTCTTGTAAAAAATTCAAGTTTACAAATGTAAACAATGAGGCTCAGAGAACTTATTATCTTGCTCAGTGTCACTTATTAAATCCTAATGCCAGAATTCAAATCCACAAC